CATCATCGTTATTAATTTTTCAAGTTCATTAATGATTGAAATGATTAAACTGAGCTCTACTGACATCTGGTGGGCAAAAATCTGTTTTTCTTTATACCACCAACTCAGTAATGCTCAAGTTTTGCTAACTAGATGGTTACCATTAATTAAGCCAATCAATCAAAGCTGTACTAAATGAAATAGAAAATAGAACTAAGCTAAATGTAAGATCATTGATCAGCAAGTAATAAACCTAAGTAAAGGTTTCCATGTCCATTGCTCCAACTGGAAGGACCACATTTCAGTTTGGTGGTTTTACACACATTTTCTGCGCCACCTCTGTGCATCGGACACTGAACATACAGGGTGGCACCTGGACAGGGCTCCTCCTTACTGCAGGGGGCAGAGGGTCTGGTGGGGAAGACATACATCTAAACAGATCATTGTGGAAAGTGTTCTATCCATTCTTTCCACAGCAAGATGTAGTGCTGTGCTCCTTGTTCCAAGAACATCTTTGTGGAGGGAATGAACCTGAGCGGTTTCATTCTGTCTGTTAGGCAATGAACAGTTTTACTTTGTACTGGGGATTTTTCATGGACCTCCAGATGTGTGTGCGTGCACATTCTAAAACACAATAAGGAAAGAGCAAATTGTGAATTAACTGTCTACAGAACATATGATGTTAACCTCACTATTTTTATTTTAATTAATTATTTTTCCCTTTTTTAAATTTAGTGGGTCTCAAGCTTGACTGTGCTCTGAACCATTGAGAGGCCCATTAAAGCAGATTGCTAGCTCCCACCACCAGAGTTTCTGACTCAGTAGATCCTGAGTGGGCCCGAGATTTTCCATTTCTAACAAGTTCCAAGTCATGCTAATTAATGTTGCTACTTCAGAAACTGCACTTTGAGAACCAATGGACTGAAAATGTTAATTCACCTTATCGGCTTGAGCACCTAGATAGTAGGTAACTGAATTAGGAAATTCAGGTGAAGGGGCAACTTGCAGATGTGAGTGGTGGAAAAGATGATAAAACAGGGTTTTTAAAAAGAAAACAGAACAAAAAACCGTCCAAGCTGGACCTACAAGGTGGTGTTTTGATGCATTTTAATAAATGTGAATACAACAAACTGTTTTCAACTGGGCAGGTGAGAACACGTACACTGTAAAATAGCACACGCTATGCATTCCCTGTTCAAAGAGGCAGAAAATGCTTTGGTTAGGTGAGCCATCTAAACGCAGATGGAGTCCTCGTATGGAGCACCCAGTACTTACATGATGAGCAGGGGCAGGACCACACTCTTATCGGCCTCTCAGTTTAGGAGAACTAATGGGTTTTTCCGACTTCCGATGATGTTTCAAGCTTCCTGGGTCAGCCCTGCTGTGGGCACTACTGTGGTTCCTGGGTAGATGACCTCTGAGACCCCATAGCCCCGCGTCACTTTATGAAATTCTCCTTTAGGAAATACGGCAAATAGATGATGGCCATTAGGAAAAACGACACTGCTAGTGTCTGTGCATTCACTACTTGGAACATGCTAAGAAAAAATATGGAAAAAAGAGTGAGATTGATCTGCTTTTGGGTTTTAAAAAATCCTTTAAAAAGTTGGCTGGCTAGTAATGCAGTGTCTCCTTATCGATTACAAACAAGGGGCAGAGGATCTAATTTTCCTCGTATAAGCCTTGATCATTCCAGATGACTCAGATGAACTCTTTAGTACAGACAGATTTCATACAATTCTCATATTATCAGAAGCATACGACTCTTTGGATTGAAAAGTTTCTAAATCCTTGGTAATTTTCCCATTAAAATTATGAATACATATTCTTTCTGAGGCCATTTCTTTCACTTGTCACAATCACCACTAGGGAAAACACATCACCTTAAGGCCACGCCCCTTGATATCATGTCGAACTGTCTCATGGGAACTCAGGACACCAGTCACTCCAGCTCTGGCATGCTCTGCTCTTTGATTCACATCCATCGATCCTTCCAACCTTATCCGCCAACTCCCGACCCTCCATCCTTCTCCTCTCCTGAGTCAGGATCCTAGTGCTGAGTTATCTGGTCCCATCAGACCTACAGTGAGATCTGTGGACAACAGCATGGATGTTGTCCCAGAGCTTGTTTGAAAGGCAGACTCTCGGGCCGACTGCACTGGCGTTTGAGTCAGTGTTACAAGATCCCAGGTGATGCCCACATGATTGAGAAGCCCTAACCTCAATGTTTTTGTTTTTTAAGCTCTCACACGCTTCTTTCTTTCTTCTTCCAATACTCACCCAAAGCCGGCCCTGGTGGGGTTCCACATCAACATCGAAATGACTTGTTTACATTGATCTCCGGGTTTAAAGTCTTTTGTGAGGCAGGTATTATCTTTTCCTAGTATTTGGTAGATGCTGTACTTAGGATATTCTTGCAGCAGTTCCTATTGTTTGGGTCGAAGTTCTTCAGGTAAATTACTACGTAGGCCATGAACTAGTTGTCAAGGTGCTAATGACTAATAGCAGACTGATGAACTATTCTTCCAAAACATTTGCATTTTAACAGGATTCCTGAAGGAAATGAATTTATTTTTGTGTTTTTTAAACATTTTAATTGGTGTTCAAGGACAGTTCTCTTTCACTCCCAGCCCAGCCCACCCCACCAGTGCTCCTCACCTCCCTCCCATTTCTACTCCCACTAGTTTTTGTCCATGTGCCTTTCATACTTGTTCCTGCAAACCCGTCCCCCCTTCCTCATTAATAGTGCTAATGGTAGGAGTTTTTGAGAAGTCAACTGAGTGGAAATAATTTGGGGAGCAAGTGATGTTTTGTCCTCAAATTTCCCTCCACTGCATCCATCTCTACTGTGGTCCAACTGAAAGAACTCTCAGCACTTCTGGGCTGGCTGAGTGGCTTTTACCTATCTTCTCCCTGCAGGGCTATTAACTCCAATATCTCCAAATACAGCCCCAAACCACCGGTCCTGGTTTGGGAGAACAGAAGGACACAAGTCCTGGGTACTCTTGAAACTTGCCTTTGGTTAAGTTACAGTAGCAAAGAGTAGGGGATGGTTAACAGGAAGGTTAGAGTACATTTCCTTGCAACTGCTCATCTCCTCGTTTGTCTTCTTCTCCAGACTGAGTCGTTGGTGCAGGGAAGTCTGTTCAAGCACATGGTGCCCCCAAAACCACTGGGCACCTTGCACATGAACATGCGCATGTTCAGTGAATTGAGGGGATGCAGTGTTTTGAAAGCACTGCTCTCGGCACGATTCAAACTCGTGGTGAGTCCTCAGCCACACAGACAGACAGTGCCAGCAGTTTGGATCATACCAGCAAGGGGGTGTGTGTTCATCCCTGAATGTTGAATCCTGACACATTAGTGTTAACTGTCACCTTTCACAGTGAGCCACATCAGCATTTTGGTGGGCGGGGGGAAGTGACAAATGCCTTTCTTCATATCCCAACTCCATCAGAGAAATTAGGCAACTGTGACACTACTTTATACGTGGATTTATTAAGAATTTTGCCTTTCCCTGCATAATGACTATGGACCTCACAAATGCTTCCTCTAATACTTATCTGTAGAGCAATAGAACATTAGCTGCAGATTTAATGTCACCAGGGTTGTAATTTGCCATGTGGTTGGAAAGGTTAACATAATGCAGAAACGTGAAATTAAACTGGTTCACTATGAGCGGTGGTGCTGCTAAGATCCATTTCTCTGTTCTCATTATTTCACCTCTTGGTTTATTGTGTTTGCTGCTCTCTCTCATTACTCACAAAATTGTCAAATAAGTCCCCAAGGATGCACTTGAACAGGCTTCTGGAAAACAGTGTTTCAGTAGTTTACATAATGGGCCCGCCCACGTGTTCTCCATCGTAAAGAAGCCACGGTTCTCGCACTTTGGGTATTGATCCTCGGCTTCAGAGGGGAGAGCGTGAGTCTGGGTGGGAAGCAGAATGAGCGCACAAATTATCAAGGGACTGACTGTGAGGCTCTTCTTAGTTTAAATAATGCTTACAGGAGTGGAGAATTCATGAGACTTGTCATAACACTGGCTCCACAGTGGGAACTATCCAGGGAAAAAGAAAGGACACGAATGTTATTATTCTATTCAGGGTGTATGAGGAGAAGGAAGGAGGTAAAGGTCTTCTGTAATGCAAAGTGAGGGGAAAAAAATCAAACTACTACCATCACTAAGTCGCAGGAGACAAATTACTTCTTTAGGTTTTGTTTGTTCATAAAATTACAACCGTGGTGCAACTTAAGGCGCTTGTCATCATTGTTCTTCTGGTAGGAAGACGAGCCAGGGAGAGGTAAGCAGGCAGTGGCGCCAGCTGGCCTTGGCAGTTGGAACGTCAGCTCATGGAGAGGCGCCTCTGGGTGGCCTCTGCCCACATCTAATGATGCAGTGCTACCATCTATCCCTCCATTCAGTCGAAGATGTGACATCCAAATGTGAATTTATCTTTTAGTTTTATGAGTCATTCAGACAACAGACTAGGGGTATCAAGGGCATTTTAATCACATGCACTCAACAACAAAATCTAATTCAGGGGTGAAAACAATGATTATAATTTGGCAGATCCTTGTGCTAAATGACACTACATTGCTATGTCATGAAAGTGATACCAAGTCGTGCCAGGTGATTCGGCAGAACTGCTTTCCAACCTCTGCCTATATATTTTATAATTATGCCACATTTTACCTCTCTCTCTATTCCAAAGTCATTTCAGAATTGTCAGCAGGGAAATCAATTTCTAGAATAAGGCATTTAGTTATTAACCACAGGGTGGATTCTCATGTGTTAATCACACACTGCTCTGCTTGAAGCCTTGTAGATTCCTCCTAATTCTATAGTGAATGGATTAAAATATTTTCCTCTATTACATCTCTTTTTTCAGAAAGTACTGCAAATCTTGTCTGACCAACAGTGAAGAAAAAGTCAGACGCAAACACTAGGGAATGCATGTATTGGGAAAAAGCCATCATTTAAACCAAAGCAAAGAAACAAAAAAAAAACACATGGTTATATATAGTCTTAATAAAATTTTATTGAGAACCAGTAAGTTAAATCCTTTACAGAACATAGAAATACATACGACCCCAGCCCTTCCCAATAAATGGCAATGTACAATTAGGGTGGGTTCCCTGAACACCCCAGACATTTTTGTTTTATACCTGTAGTGGAGCAACAGCTCTACAGCTTAGCCATACAGAAACGGGTGCTCTGACCTTTCCGGGAAAGCAGAAGGGGAATCAATTCAGTATGAGTAACAAGGACAACAAATGAGTTCTAGCAGCCAAAGGAGCAGATGAATAAAGGTCCACTCTTCACATTTTGCATTTCAAAATCAGCTAGTACAAGGCAGGGCATCAGAAGATCAGACAGAAAGTAACCTGAGGACATAGGAGCAGAGGAAGTCTGTCCTCCACTCAGTTATACAGGGAAGTGGTAATATGGAGAGAAAACAGCCCTGGATCCACTTTTACCTAACAATCCATCTCCCATGAAGTCATCCAATGCCAAATAACTGGAGTTGACATCAAAGATGAAAAGGGAGACAAATAATGCTGAGGGTTAAAGACTGACAACCTGGATGAGACCGAAGCCCAATGGAAATGATGACAATAGTGATGATGATAATATTTTTTCCACGATGAAGAGTCACCTACCACAACCTTCCATCATTGCAGGAACGGGAACACAGGCAGGATAAATGCACGCTGTGCAGCAAGCGCTTACGGTTTGACTCTAGGCTTTTCACGGACATGAGAGACACTGTTGAGTTTTCTGGGAGGCAACTTTTGGGAAGGTTTTTTTTTACCAAAAACAAAAATATACAGGGAGAAATGATACAACAGAAATACAACAGAAATAATTCCTCTTCCCTTTAAAACTAAGAAAATTAGTGTAAAAGTTTCTTTCAGTTTCTAGCATGGTGTTAGGTTTCTGGTCTTAGTTCGTAGCGCCTGTGCAAGTTTAAAATACTATCAAACTTACTTTGTTCTTACACATAAAAAAAGAGGCACATCTCAATTCTGTCCGTTTTATAAATCCTAAATAGCACCCTCCCCCCAAGAATGGTACCTGAATTGTGTTTGTATTGATAAATTTGATAATGGATAAAAGGAGCCAGACTGTAATTTAAGTATTAACAAAAATATGATTCAAAATGTTCTCTCTGTCTTGAAGTTTTCCTGAGTTAAATTAATCAAGGCGTTTGGAGAAGCACTGTGATCAAGTCTTGGGCTAGGAGAAAATGTGTTTTATTCTGTTTCCCTTAGTTAGTAACTCTAATTGCACAGGACAGTAAGACACTTAACTAAACCAAATGGGCTTTATTCTTTCAAGTTGCACGCCCAGCCAAAGGCAAATTAGCTTTCCTGTGAATGCTGACACCGTTGATCTGCAACGTTCCGGAGAAAGGCAGAGCCTGTCAGCAGCACTGCGGAAACCTGAGGCACAAGGTGCTCCCGACTAGCACCGGTCACAGAGGACAAGCTAATCCGAGGACGTGAGCAGTGGGCTGCTGTTTTAGATCTACGGTCTGTAGCCTTTAAAGGCTCAGACAATTTCCAATAATATTAGCTATTTTGGTGCTAAATGGAAAGTAACAGGGAGCTGCTACCCACAGGGACCAGTGCACACTCAGTGGGGGTCTGGTTCAAAGTTCTAGTATAAAACAGCATGTTCTTAGGACAGAGGGAGCTGTGAAATGGGCACATTTAACATCCTTAGACCCTGTTTTTTTTTTTAAGCTGCAAAATGTTCTAAAATCAGTCAAAGTGTAGAAAAACAAAACCAGCCTGGGAAAGGAAGTGACGGAATGAGGAGGAATAGAAGCTGATGACTCAAAATATTTGTACAGATTTGAAGCGCCAGTGATTCTACTTCTGCTATATAAATACCCAAATCTGAGGGCTCAGATACTGATGAATGTTAAGCCTAACATATGCAAAGAGGCAGGACCCATGTGTTCTAAGCACAATCACTGATTTCTATCAAATGCTTAGTGTTTTTTCCCCCTCAAGTTAATGGCTATACGCATAGCACACTCCCCCCTGTTAAACAGGAGTAGAGTGCCGCGTTACCAAGTGAAAGGCCAGTGTCCAGACAGAGCGCTAGGAAGGAAAACATGCCTGGCCCCAAACAGCCAGCATTAAAGCAGAGTCATCGCCAACTGAGTAAAACAGAAGTCAGAGTTCAGGTCAGCTGGACAGGGTGGACGCAGGTCCTCGGTTACAACACGGTCACACCCAGGACACTGGCTTCCTGATCTCATCCTAATTCTACGGAACAAATAAGTTTAAATAAATAGGTAAAAAACATAGTAGCTTATTTTAGAAAAAACAGTAAACTTATTGTTAGCTTACCTAGAACTAAACAACAAATCAGAATCTTCACAACAACCACTTCATTTTAGAGATTTTTGATGAAAATGTTGGCTATAGCCTGGATGCTTTACCAATAAAAAGAGGCAAATTTCCAAGTATGTTTATCTCCAGTTTAAATAAGCACTGTGAATTTAAACAGTGGTGTTTAGGTCCCTAAACTAGTTTGTCACTCTTGCAATTTTTGTCCTGGAAGCATAGAGTTATATTTTTGTCCCCTTTTATAATCAACCATAGAGAAAAGCAAAGTCATAAAACTGCCTTATTGGAGAAAAACACTGAAGAGTGGGGGTAGAGGGCAGTGTCCAACAATACTGTACATTCATCTTTGTCTACCTACGTTTAGTTTCTTTTAAGTATGTTTAGAACAGTAACAGACGGTTATATTCATAAGCTTAAATGAGTAAGGTTTCCTCTAACTTGCAAAATGTATATACATATATGCCCTCAAATTATCATCTATATTGCCCAACTTCCTTTTTGGAAGAAAGTGAAGTTAAAGTTAAAAGACTTCCTTGCATATGTTAAAATAAAAGTAAATGATAAAGAAAAGGAAGTGAACTAAAGACGAATTACAACAAAAAAGCCAACTAAACGAAGCACACAGTTCGTTTCCTCGAAAGCAACGACAGCACTCGGCTCAGGGCCGACAGCAGACAGGGCCATGCAGTGCAGGCGGGGAGGCCTCCCCTTACAGTTCAAATGCAGGGAACCTGGCTTTGGAGGGCACTAGGAGGTCAGCCAGGAAGTATATTGTTCCAGCCATTCCTGGAGGAAGAGAAGGAGGCTGAAGTTAGTGTACCAATGACTCCGTCCTAGAGAGTGGCTTTATTTTGCACTATCAACAGTACAATATTAACGGCAATGATTTAAATGAAGTGGGCATCTATCTATATTTATATTCCTTGCAGTTAATTATTAGAGGAGAACACTACTGAGGTGTTTAGCTACTTCATCCAGGTGGAAGGCAGGAGGAGAGTGGAGCCAGACAAGTTCAAGGCGCAGCCTGTCATTTACCCTGTGTGAGCACCATGGGCCACTCACTGGTCTGAGTCTCAGTCTTCTCATCTGTGACATGAGGATAAGGCCTGGACGTTTCTGCTGAGATGATTTATGACGGCACCCGCAAAATGCTTAGCATGTGCCTGGCTCCATGATGGCAATCCCCATTATGACTGTTAGTATCAGGTCCGTGTGTTAACTGATTTTTAATACTGAGTTGTTGTATCAGGATATAAGAAAGTAGTGTAAGAAATTATTATAAATTTACTTTGTTGGTAAAACTCCAATTTAAATACATTAACTACCAAGCAGAGAAGCAGATGCTGAAGGCAAGTAAGTAATGGGTGGAAAATACCTTCGAAGAGGGAGAAGGGGGTGTCTGGCGTTCTGCATCCGTGTTCTCCGTAATCTAAGCACCACTCGGCAAACTGAAATGGAGACCAAGTTAAATTACTGTTGTGATTTCTTCCCAAGACCCCCCAAAGTTGACAGAGGTTGTCTCTAAGAATTATCCTAAATGGTCAAACACTCTCTTCAAGGCAGAGAAAAGGGGTCAGTGCAGAAAAACAGCCTGAAAGAAAGTATGAAACACGGAGGGAACTTAATGAGCTCTGAGCCACGCGCCTCCAAGGTCAGCACAGAAGAAACACAGGGATAAACCACCCTCCGTTTTTCCTTCTCCCACAAATGCTGTTGAGTAGAATTATGTCCTTTTAAAAGAGCGCTAATTTCACTGAATGGTTTTGCAGGTTTTTCTTCAATAATTGTGTGAGCCTGTCCCATAGACATCATTTCACAAATGAATGGATGAATGAAGTTAACTAGGAACCTTTCTACAGCCTCCAGGAGAGGTCACGTGCTTTCTGGTTCCTACCTTGCAGGCCCTGTACAGGTACTTCGTATCCTGAGTGAGGTTGTACAGTGCCAGGAAGGCGTAGGCGTTGCCTGCAGTGCCGTGGCACAGCCCGTACCCCTTCTTCAGCAACCCGTGCTTCCAGATCACATCAGCACACTGGTAGGCATCGTTGAGATACTGTTCCTCTCTGAACGCCTGCAGAATCGAGGGACGCAGTGTAATGTTAAAGGACACGAAGGAAAATTCTATGGATATTCCTCCCTGACAGGAATGGAGGGAAGATGGGGAAGAGGAGAAGAGAGGGAAATGGCTTGTCAAGAAAGGGTAAGGGATTGAGAGCCACAGAGATGTGTCATACCAGTGGGGACAAATGATAAAATCTCACTAGCTTTTTTTTTTTTTTTTTTAAATAACTGGAATGACCTCGTTTGCATGGTCGAAGTTGTGTGTGTGTGTTTGTGTGTGTGTGTGTGTTAGAGGTGAAGTGGCATTATTCTACTTAAAATGCTGTTAGACACTTTCCAAAGAACACATGCCATCTTCTTGGGTAACAACGATGCCCTTCACTCTAAGGAAGTTTCTCTCCATATTGCAGAAGAAACTGTTCATAAAATTGATTATAAAACTGATTTGGTTATCAAAGACTGTACTATGTCAGAAAAATAGAGATATGCCTTTACAATCCTTTGTGGACTCCAATTTCTTGGTTGAAGACTTGAGGAATATTCTGAGTAGACATTTTAGATATCTCACTGCAAACTCAGTGTCCTTAAAAATAGAGCAAGCCAGTTTTAAAAGATTTCCCAAGTTTCTAAAAGTAAAATTTGATATACTAAAAGCTTACTTAAACTATAAGCTGCCAGTCTGTGGATGTGGAATATGTAGATTTGGAACTGACAGATGTAGATATCTTGGTTATATTTTTACTACAGCATGCTTTTTAGAAGAGATACTGGCATTTTTTTTATTATGGTGAAATATACATAAAAGTTACCACTTTAATCACTTAAAATACACAATTCCATGGCATTAATTATATTCACCTGTTGTATAACCATCAGTACTATTTATTTTCAAACTGAAACTCTGTGCGCATTAAGTGTTAAATCTGTACCCATCCCCTCTGCCCCAGCTCCAGGTAACTTTGATTTTCTTTCTGTTTGAATTTGCCTATTCTAGATACCTCATATTAACTATCACCTCATTTGAGTAGAATCATATAGTATTTGTCCTTCTGAATCCGGTTTATTTCACTTATAACGTTATCAGTGTTCAAGCACGCATGCTACAGTACGGATCAGAACTTCATCGTCTCATGTGGTTGAATACTGATCCACTGCAGGTACACAGCACATTTTCTCTGTCCATTCATCTGTAGATGGGCACTTGGGGCATTTCTGCTGTTTTGCTGTTGCGAATAATGCTGCTGTGGAACACTGGTGTACAGTGTCTGTCTGGAGCCTTGATTTTAATTTTGGGGGGTAAATACCTAAGAGTAGTGTTGGAAACCACCCTGCCTGGTTTCAGGAGCTCTAATCCCTTCCATGGCCAAGGCTGAGAGAGCAACCTTCGAACCTGAAGCCACTATGGAGACAAAGCTTATCTCCCTGGCAGGACCGCTGCTTCTGCTCCTTTTTCCATAACTGGCCCCCAGTGCTCGATCAGTTAGCCAATGACGGGTAAGATTCCCCAAGGGGGGAACCACCTAAGACAGGCATGATCACATGGAGGCCCCAGGGGAGGACTTGGGGGGCTATGGAGAAAGGGGGTGATGGACCCTTGCCCCTCAGCTTTGACGAAGCCTGAGTCCTCATTTCTCCTAATTCCTTGGCTTTCTTGCCTCCTCTGCCTGACTTAAGCCTGAAACAATGACAGAGGGCGGTGCAGCCCTGTGCTGGAAAGGACGGGCTCCCCAGGTGATTAGGCCTGAGAAAGGATATGTCAAATCCTGTGAAGCCTGCTTGGCTAAGATGCTCTTAGTTAAATGATAAAGGCCCGAGCAGGAAATGAGTTTGTTTCCCAAAGTTTCGTAGCCCTTTAGCGAATAGAGTCTGAGTCAGAAGCAGCCCTAATAGTTCTTTGTATGCTATCTACTGATTGATCCTTACTGCCTAAAAATGATTAATGAGCTGTACCTGTATTCCTGCACAAATTAAACCCAATAAAGCCTGTCTAGGCAAGGTCAGCGCGCTCTCCCCTTGAGAGAGTAGCCAAGCCGCTCCCCCCTTGAGGGAGTAGCTGTGCGGTCCCTTTTCCTCCACAGGAGTTGGGAGTCCGTGTAAATTTGTCTCATAGCTCATCCCTGATGCCATGGGCACCTCGAACCGGTGCACGTGTCAGAGTGGAATTGCTGGATCATATGTTGATTATAAGTTTAATTTTTTTGAGAATCTGAGAGACTGCCACACCATTTTCCACAGCGGCTGCGCCCCTGGTGCACACCATCCAGCAATCTGCGCGGTGGATTCCTTCTGTTTTTTAACTGAGTTCTGCCACTGACGCTATGATCTTGGCTGCTCTGCTTGTCAGTGAGGAAGGCTCCTGCTCTCGGAGCAGGAAGCAATGTCTGCTCTGGTACAGATGCATCCTGTGTCCAGTCAGCAGAAGTGATCTTAGGTCTAATAAGGGATTTATCTATTGCTCTTTTAAGGGTTATGCGTAAAACTAATTTCAAATGATAGAATTTCGTATTTTCCTATTCACTTCTAACACGAGAACGTGCACAGTACCTTGTAGGCCTGGAGGAGCATGTAGATAACCCCGGGGGAGCCATGGCACCAGTGGACCAGCAGGTCGCGCGTGTCGCCCACACAGGGAGGGTAGTTGCCAGACGGGAACTTCAGCTGGCAGACGTAGTCTACGCTGGGCTTGACCAGGCCGTGCAGCTTTGCGTGGCTCACTTGAAGGCAGGGCTGACAAGGAGAAAGGGGGTTATCGGTTCTGCTGGAGCACACGAGCTTCCTGAGCTGCAGAAATGAGTTTTAACCCATAAAGAAAACATGACCAAAAGCCATTCAGAAGTTCTGGACTCAATGCAATTATTTCACCTACTGGAACACACTAGAACCACACTATCGGTTAACCCCTGGGCTTTATGCCCATATTATTTTTCAGTATTTGTTATCTACAAACATATAATTTTCCTAAGTCGATTCTTGAGAATGTGAGTGCTAAGACAAGTTTAACACCTTATGCATACAGTAAAGCCCAGAAAGAGATTCAGAGACAAACCAACCACCACTGTCATTATTGCATTTAGATGTTTCCAATGGAAGAGGATGCTAACAAGTTAGGAGACTGAGAATCTAGATTCCAAACTGCCATGTGATTCTAGACCAAGCTTTCTGCAGAGGATTTGGAACTGATACTTATACAGGACGATTCTGATACAACAATGGATAGATTTGTAAGAGACACTGACATAAAACATATGAGCCTCCATTTTTGATATAATTTTTAGTTTCTCTTTTTGGTCCTGTTCTTAATTCAAAGCACTGCTCACTTCTTTAAACAAGTTCAAAATGTTGTCGTTGCCCCGCTGGGGGTGAATTTGGGGAGGGGCGGGCAGTGCTGTGACGCACAGACAGGAGGCTGTGGTGGCAGGAATTAGGCCACACTTGTGACAAGGCTTTCTCGGATACTGAACGTGCACTAAGTGCTTTAGGCACTTGTAGAATTCCCTTTACCCAAAGAATGGTGTTCAAGTTCAATATAAAATGCTAATGTAGAGTGAGTGGATTCTCCTCACACTTGCAGGAATGTTCCAACATGGCCAAACATATTTTGCTTTATGTTAATACATAGGCACCTCCTGGAATGAACTTTTATGATTAACAATTAATTTTAAATAGATAATAATCTGCCAACTGAAAACTCAGTACTTGGGTTTCCAGATTTCCTACTACAGAGGACAAAAGGGTAAGATGTTCCTGATGATCTGCTTCAGTGAAAGGCCATGTGGTTGCCCTAGTGTAGCTCACTGGGCTGGGCATCGTCCCACAAAGTAAAAGGTCACTGGTTTGATTTCCAGGCAGGGCACATGCCTAGGCTGCAAGTTTGGCCTCTGGTTGAAGTGCATGTAAGAGGCAACCAACCAATGTTTCTCTTCCTTTCTCCCTCCCTTCCATTCTAAATAAATAAGTAAGTAAGTAGTAAGAAAAATAAAATTAAAATAAAAAAAAACCCCAGAAAGGTTGTGTTGTTGTTCAGTCACTGACATGTGTGACTCTAACTCATCTTAAAATTTCCGAAGGCACACTTTCCTTTCCTGAAAACTTTTGAAAATATGTATTTATTTCTGGAAATACAGGGTATACGTCAGAAATAAAGAAATTTAAACTTAAACTGTTGAAATCCCTAATTGTAAAACTCTTGATTGGGAAGTATAGAAGAAATACAACGGTCAGTCTCCCACAACCACTAACCCTCACAGTGCGACTTTGCATTTAAAAGCAGTAATAACCTTGAGTTTCCCAGCATCACTGTCACTGTTTAGTTACGGGAAGAGGGCAGGTCTGACATTGACTTTGCATTATTACAGCCAGCTACTCAACCAGTGAGTGGTACGTATGTCTAAGCACTCATGTTGAACATATTAATGAAACACTTCTCTTTATGCCACACTGTACTTCGGGAAGGTGAGGGGGACACCTTTGTACCATTAAAAATCAATTTCCTTTTGTCATAAATTCTTATTCACAAGTGCCAATTTCTCCTTAAAGAGAGCTATATAAGCCCCCGGAAACAAGGCTCCCAAGTGCTCTTCTGACCCCCCCTCCCAGATTCTGCTGGCTGCAGTAAGTTCTACTCGTCCTCAGGCGCTCTGATTTGGAGGACGTTCCCCAACAGCATTAGATCTGAAGGACTGTTGAGCACAGCCTAGTCAGCTACTTCTTGGGTAAGTTGCACAAAATCCATCGGAAAGGCTCTGTAGCTCGCTCTCTGTGGGAGCCTCAGGCCGCATGTGCTCGTTTGTTTTTTTAATTGATTTTGTTCTTACTTCTGGAATTTATTTCGCTGGGTTGTGCCTTACAATGTGAAATAATATTATTAATATAAGGCACTTGCTGAAAGAGAAGAGCAGAGCAGAAGGCACTTCATATAGAAGTACGGGTCGGAACACTTCAGTCAGGACAAGTGGACCTAGTAGGCAAGTATGGTCATCCACAAACCCAATGTCATTTCAAAGCACAGTGCCTTTTGTATTTATACACTTGAAATGCGCCCTGCCAAGTACTCCTCTTGCTTGTCTAGGCCTGGAATGACAAGGAGGGTAACGCAGAGTCGACAGAATGAAAACATGGAGCTGGGCCCGCCTCCTGCCCTGGACAGCAAGGGCAGGAGCACAGGCTGCAGTCTCACCATCGTCGCCTCTTACCTGCATCAGGAAGTAATAAATTCCCGCCAGGCCGTGAGCAGCCCCCACATAATATTCTTGGTACCATTCATACATCAGCGGAGTCTTCCCTGTGAAGTTTCTTTTTCTAGCTAGGTTCTCTCCAGATGTTAGGACTGTTTCACAAATCTACAGGGAGAAACCCAACCAAAAAATGAGAGAATGAGAGTAAAAACCCTCTCGGGGGAGGTAAGGACCTTTCTTCATGGATACTGGGGACACAGTGAATTAGACATCACCTTAGGCAACGGAAGGGCACAGTTTAATTCAGCACTTAGAGAAGTGTTTGTGACTGACTATATTCGGTCTGAAAAGGGTGAAGATACAGAAGGTGTGGAACTCGTCTCACTAGAACTTGCAAGAATTCACTTGCCAAAGGAAAGCCTAACTGCTTCGGGCACCAAAGGAGACACGTGCACCTGTGAGGTGCAACTGGCCTGTCTTCTCGGAAAGGGCCACTAAACTCGCCAATGGCTGAACTTCTTACTGAGTCCCTCTCTGTAGTGTCTCCAACAGCACTCGGCATGAAGCTACCCGTCCTCTGATCAAGCCTGACCTTCAGAGGCCAGCATACAACTTCCGGCTACACAGGACAGCTCACCGGAGAAATAAAACCGACAGTTCAGGGAGACGGTAAGCGGAAGCCTAAAAAGGCTGCAAGAGCACAAAAGCATGGTACCTGCTGAATATGGCTTTGAGGAATCTTTTCCACTCCGAAGTTCTTATTGACAAAGAGAAGAGCATAGATGTAGCCCACTCGTCCATAGAGTATTTCATTTGGAACATGAGGATCAATCTTATTTAGGTGAATTAGCCTGAGAAGAAAAATACATACATGCTTATGGTAATTTGAAAGGAATTAAGTGGTGGTATATACTAAAAGAATGGTACATTTGAAAAACACAGATGTGACATATATTCAATTAGATTATATTATTTTAATGGTTTTTATTACATTTTTCCATTACCGTTTAGTCCCCTCGTACCCCTCTATGTCCATCAGTCACCCCACTGCTGTCTGCGGCCGTGAGCCCTTTCTCCTGTTTTCCCAACCCCCCCACTCCTCCCCATCCCCACAGCTGTCGGCCTGCTCTCTCTCAGAGTCGGTCTCTATTTTGCTTGTACTTCAAAATGGTAAGGTATGAAAATGGTGGCTCATGACCATTTTTTCTTCTACAAATACAGGCATGAAACTCACGGTGGAACAAACAGTGTCATCGTAGGTACAGGAACACAGTGGCACGAGACTGTTTTTAATTTTCCTGTAATACCCTGACTTTCCCCCCAATGTCAAAGGGGTCATCTGGATGGCGGAGTTACAGGCCATTTCGTTTTCTGCTTCAGTATCTCACTCACGCGTGCACACACACACACACATACACACGCACATACACACTCCTAACAGTTTTAAAGAACTTAAAAAAACATTTATGACAAATTATTTTTTATAATTTTTATATTTTAATAAGGTCAGTAACACTGAGATAACATTGTTATAACATTTATTTTTAATTATGTAAAAATCTAATTTTTATATATTTTTATAAGGTCAATAACATTGAGACCTTAAGAAAATAAAATCGGTTTACTAAATATAAACTCTTCTGTTGTGGTAAATAGAATGAATGTTTCAGAGTCTTGATGAGAATTTTTAAATCAAGTTTTAATGTAAATGTATCAAACTGTATAAAATTTAGACATAAAAAAGCACTTCTGATTTACTTTTTCAAAGATTAAAAGAAACACTCAAAGAGAAACTACCCTGAATTTACTAACCAGATACTGCTCTATGGAAGTTACTCTGAACAATTACTGCACTAACTCCAATGACGTTCTTATGTGGATAAAAATGTCTGAACCACTGTTATCAGAAAACACCTTTCCTTTACTTGCCACCATTATGACCTGCATTACCACTAGGTGGCAATATATATCAATAATTGGCATTTCAATTATTTTGCAGCCAAACTTATTTGCATTTGGGAAGTTCAAAACAGGTAGCAAACACCTTTCAAATCTTTGAAAATATAGTATGGCTCATAGCATCTCCTTAAAACAATGCTTTACAGTTTAGGGTGAAAAAGGAAGTATGTATTCTACCTTTTTCTGGATTTAAATTCAAATAATTAAAACTCATTAGTTGGGTCTGATGATTGTTAAGGGTAGGAGTTTTAAATTCATGTTTTACATGCCATATTCTTAAGGTAAAAAGAGGAAATGACAGCATTTATAAGTCATAATGGTTATTTTATGTGTTTCCAAAGCCAGCAGCACATAATGCACCTCCACTTATTTGTTTTAATATGGACACAAGAATTACAACCCTTCTGAAGGGAGAATAAAGACATATAAAACAGGGTAGTTCTTCTCCACTCTTAGCAGTACTTGCCCAGGGTATCACTGGGGAGTTTTTTGCTTTGTTTCATCAAAAGAAGTTTGACTTATTTTTTTAAAAAAGAAGTTCTTTTCTTACTCATCACACTACACAAGAGGGAGGGTATAATTTTCTGACCAGAAAGCTGAAGTTCTTCATCACTTTGAGTACTGGCCCCAAAGCACTGTGTATGTCAGGTTAATCCCTTATTTGGGCACCAAACAGGCAGCTATCTCTCTGCAGAAGGAAGAAGGAAAACGGACACCTACACAAAAATCAGCTCCAGGAGGAACTGGCACTATGGGCCACCCAACCCCCGCCCCACCCTCCAGGCCGACTGCAGGGCAATCCGAACGCACAGGCACATTTCCCTGCCGCTCTCTCGCTGTCTCTCCCATTCACTCTCATGCTCTCTCTCCGCCTCCCCCTCCTTTTGGGGTCACAGACCCCTCCAAGAAAAGTGCGAGTACAATTTGGGGGTTTCTATACCTCTGGAAGCCCTCCCCCGATGTTAAGAACCATTTACTATCTTAGGGAAAATTATGAGTCTGAAAGACCATTAGTTTAGAAAATATAGGAACGATGTTTCCATGAGACACGATCTTGGTGACTGTCTTCCTTAATGACATCAATTAACTTTGGGCTTACTGAAACTGAATTGAAAAGACATAATTTTTTCCTTCAAAGGGAGAAGATATGAAACTACAAATAATATTTTTTCTCCTTCTTCTGCCATGAAATCCAGAAATATAAAAAATCGAAGCTGTGGATACAATGTATATGCCTATCATAAGTTCATATTCCATATTTTTATTTTTACTTTTTCATTTTAAAGATTTTATTTATTTTTTTAGAGAGAGTGGAAGGCAGAGAGAAAGAAAGGAAGAGAAACATCAATGTGTGGTTGCCTCTTGTGTGCCCCCCACTGGGGACCTGGCCTGCAACCCAGGCATGTGCCCTGACTGGGGAATTGAACCAGCAAAACCCTTTGGTTCACAGGCCAGCACTCGGTCCACTGAATAACACAGGCCAGGGCTCACATTACATGTTTTTAACAATAACAACTCTACGTGCTATAAAAAAAAAAGTTAAAATGTCATACAATTTTTAAAAAGATATAAAAAACAAAAACAGCTTTATTACCAAGCTACAAAAAACTTGTAGCTTACGCTTAAGGATGTTTTAAAATAAACCAATATTACTAAATGGTAATATTCCCCAAACACTATTTCTTAAAACAATAGGCCCTAAGATGTCGTGAGGAGAAAGTGCTAAGTGATACATTTGGCAAATTCTGCTCCCTAGAGTAGGCAGTTTCTCTTCAGACTCTCAAGATCCTGGGCAGACAGTAAAGTTACAATATTTATTTTTGTTTAATTAATTTCCCCAATCCGTTTAAATATGCACTACTTGTAGTTAACAAATATTAACATCTATTGACATTTTTCATATAGCAAACTACTACTGTTTGGTTGTGCATATATGCAAAGGCTGGCATTATAAATAAAATACTGGGACCACTACAACTTATTTTATGATACTTAAAGATTCCTTCAATGAGCCTTTCTTGTGAACCTATAAAGCAGACATGTGGCTAATGGTGTTAAACTGGCTCTGTGAAACGAATAAAAAGGTAGCTTCTGTATTTCAAATTTAGATGGGTATGAAACATTTTGTATTGTCTGTTTTCATTCAAGTTCATTACTATAAAAGGGATACATACGTTAATTAAACCTTGGGAGAAATCAGTTTTGTTTCACTTGTGATTTTGATCAAGGTTTGTGACAGATTTTATATTAAATATTTCCCAGTCCCGGGATGGAATGTTCATAGTTTTTTCCTCTAAAATATACTAGTACTACATTTTTTGTTTTTAAGTTGCACTAGATAATTTCTTACCTTGGACACATGTATCACGGGCACGTATAAAAAAGGTATTCGGAAGTATTCGTCAATTCAGGGAATGAATTAGTACAATTCACACGTCAGTACAGGTAGAGCACAGGCTCCTTGGATCCCCCTCCATCCCCTCTTTTGTTACATTTTCCGGTGGAAAAAGTTAGTTGCAGTAAGAAAATATTACAGTATGGGAAAAAATTGGGGGAGGAGGGAGAATTCACATACATGTGCTCAAACCACAAGAGTATGGCTTATTCCTTCTTTGCATACAACACAAACTGTATGTATCTTAAAAGACCTAGTTACAGCATATTCTGTGATATGGATGATCATGCTAAGTGAAATAAGCCAGTCCCAAAAAGACAAATATTGAATGAGTCCCCTTATACGAGATACTGAGATACTCAGAGTAGTTAAAAATCATTGAGACAGAATGTAGAAGGGAGGCTGCCAGGGGCTGGGATGGGGCACGTGGGTACAGATGCAGGTTTACAAGATGAAAAGAGCTATGAAGACAGATGGTGGTGATGGTTGCATAACATCATGCATGTACTTAATTCCACTAAACTGTAGACTTGAAAATGGTTAATATAGTCAATTTGATATTATATATATTTTACCACAATTGGAAAAAAGGAACCAAATGTAAATTCTAGAACTAAAAACTGCAACTTCTAAAACAAAAAATTCCCTGGATGGGCTTAACAGCAGAATGGATATAACAGAACAGAATAGAATACAAAACAAAATAAAACATGACAAAACAAAACAAAAAAGGGCACTTTTAAAAAAGTGAACCAAGAAAACACCAACATTACTTAATCAGCATAAGAACAGAGAGCAGGCAAAAAAGATGGAAAAAAGAACAGTCTCAGAGACCAGTAGAACAATATCGAAAGGCCCAACATATGTATAAACTGAAATTTCAGAAGGAAAAGACAGAAGATGGGGCAGAAAAAATGTTTGGAAAAATATTCTAGATCTTGATAGGGGTTTGGATCACACTGGTATATGTAATCATAAAAACTCGGTAAGTTTACACTTAAAACTTAAACAGCTCAATATGTATAATGTTTACATCAAAGAAAGAAAACTCTAACCAAATGCTGTACTCTAGTAAATTATGTACAAATTCAAGTATTAAGATGGAAGTGAAATGATGTTTGCAATTTACTCTGAAAAGCATCTCCCCAAAAGGATTAGGTAATAATGAATAGAGAAATGGATAGATGGATATGTGATAAAGCAAGTACAGTAAAATGTTAACAGTAAAACCTATGTGATAGATATACAGGCATTCACTGTTCTTTTAACTTTTTTATGTTTGAAATTTTTCATAACAAAATTGAAGAAGGAAAAATCTAGTTAAAAAATTCAGGGCAAAAGCCTGTTGTTGAGATACACACATCACACAAGGCGATTAACCAAGGATCCTTGACCAATGAAATCAGTAATGATAATACTACTCAAAGAGTAATTTATGAGAAAAAATAGTGGGACTCAAAAACCATGGTCAACTCAGGGACGTTAAATGTCGCTGGACTCAAGTGGACAAAAACACCTTAACAGACACCTCATTAAAGAAGATACACAGATGGCAAATAAGTACATAAAAGGATGCTCCACATCATCTATTAGAGAGAAACACAAACTAAAACAAGCTACCACTGCCCACCTATTAGAATGCCCAAATTCCAGATCACCGGCAACACCAGATGCTGGCAAGGATGTGGAGCTGTAGGAACTTTCATTCATTCATTGCTGGTGGAGGTGCAAAATGGTATAGCCTCTTTGGAAGACAGTTTGGCAGGTTTTTTTTTTTTTTTAACAAAACTAAACGTATTAGTATATAATTCAGCAATCATACTTCTTCGTATTTCTGAAGGAGTTGGAAACTTACACCCACATAAAAACCTGCACATGGATGTTTATAGCAGCTTCTATTTGCCGAAACTTGAAAGCAACCAAGATGCTCTTCAGTAGGTAAATGAATGTATGAACTGGTACACAATGGAACATTATTCAGCCCTAAAACGAAATGAGCTATCAAGCCATGAAAAGACACAGGGGAACCTTAGTAGTACACACTACTAAGTGAAAGAAGCTGATCTGAAAGGACTACAGATACCACATGATTATCCTGGGATGATATCCTGGGAAATGCAAAATTATGGAGACAGTAGAAAAATCAGTGGGTGCCAGGAGTTAGGCAGGAGGGAAGGGGGATGACTAGGCAGGAGGGAAGGGGGATGACTAGGCAGGAGGGAAGGGGGATGACTAGGCAGAGCACAAAGGATTTTTAGGACAGCGAAATTATTCTGAATGATACTGCCATGATGAAAACATGTTATTATACATATGTCCAACCCATGGAATGTACACCACCACGAGTGAACTGTAATGTAAACTATGGACGTTGGGTGACTGTGGTGTCTCAGTGTAGGTTCATCAACGGTAACCGGTGCACCACCCTGGTCAGGGGTGTTGACAAGGTGAGGCTGTGCATGTGTGGGAACAGAAGGTATAAGGGGAATCTATGTATCTCTCTTCTCAATTACGCTGGAACTGAAAACTGTAAAATGTAAAGTCCACTAAACAAACAAAACAAACGTCTGCCGTGGCAACGTAACTGCGGGTGTGTCAGCACACTCAGTGGGGACCTAACGTGCAGACAGAACCGCGTGGCAGCCAGGTTTCTCAGCAGAATTCTGAGAGAGTGTTCGCTAAATCCTAGTGAAGCAGTAATTGCAATTTATTAATACAAAAGTTTGGTAATTTTTCACAATTCACAAGCTACCAGTGGGCTGCCCTGATTTATACTAAAAACAAAAAGCTAGCTTTGCATATCATTTGTTCTTAAACAAAGAAGGCCTGCATCAGTTTGTACACCCTTAGGAGGCCTCTCTCAACCCCCCACAGCAAGTGAGCTGCATTTTTTTCAGAGTATTGATCTTGGATAGAACCTTGGATTAGTAATCATATAATTAGGCTTTTGATCTCATGTTTGTTACTGAAACTGATGTTTGATTGGGAATGTGTCAGTGTCATTTATATCTTACAATAAAATAAGGATTATAATGGTTGTGCCTTAACTACAACAAAGGAATAATGTGAGAATTGATTAAGTGACAGCACCAAGATTTATTGCTGAGAGGAAAGTAAATTCACTAAAATGTTCTTTTGCTAACACACACAGAATCAATGCATAATAACAGGTAGATAAAAATCCTCAAAGAGAAGCGTGATTACCGGGTGATGCAATCCTCTGCCTGCTTCTCATTGTTCATCTTGTGATGCACCACAGCGGCCACGGCCAGCGGGCCTGCATCTCCGCAGAGGAAGGTGATGGAACGCTTGGACAAGCAGTTCAGACTTTGCTTTACGTAGCCTTGAGCCATCTGCAGGTAGGCGGGGTCCCCGAACACATCATAGAGATGTAAGTAAAGCACAGCAATACCTGAAAAGCAAGAGGAAAATATTGTAAAAATGAGAAAAGGGCAGTTTACTGTATTATTTTGGTGTGCGCCTACCCAGTAGTGTTACTTGATACATCGTAACAAACGTGTAAACTGTCTGGTAGTTCAGATGACCTCAGTTCTGGACTCAGCTGTTTTACTAGCCACTCTAAGAACCGGGTACAGGCAAACACTTTACTGGTTCTCAGTTTCTTCATCATCAGTAATTCTAAATAACAGGAAGTCTAAGACCCTCTAAGAATTCTAAATCCAAGTTTATTTTAATGTTTGTTGCACTCTGGCTATTGTGTTAATGTAATCTTTTTGATGGTTGAATGACAAGTCACAAACTATGGTTCCAAATAAACACTTAAGTAACAAATAATAATTTACTTAATAATAAACAAGACATGTTTGTTCTTGTGAGCTAAAGAAACTTAAAGACTAGAGAATGAAACATTTAATTAACTCCTTGTATAGATTTTCATTTTTTTTTTCATGAGAAGGCAGGTAGAGTAATCAAATCCCCTACTCTAGCATCATTCTAGGCAGGGAAATAAATTCAATTCCCCCTTAATTTTTTTTCCTCTCTCTGTAGAGAACCCGGGTTCTTTAGGAACTACACTGTAAAAGCTGCCAATGACTTCTGCTTTGGGCCTTACTCATTCCGCTCCTTACCCTACTCATGAAGCCTGCGGCACCTAACTGGGCTGTTGTCTGCATGTCCTTATTCCAAACACCTGTCGCAGTACCTAGACCTCCCCCCTAAAGCCGCCTGGCCTCAGGACAGACTCAGAGGGGGTGCAGGGAGCCTGCCTGCAGCATTTCCAGAAGCTCATTTTTCTCCTTGAAGTACATTTTCCATCTCATTTACCGTTTTTAAAAGATACAGAGCCTCTGTTTAAGTCTAAATTAATAGAGCCAATCTCTTCACAAATTTCAATGCAGTAAAAATGCAGTCTGCAAAATTACTTTTCATTGCACTGTGGACAATTTTAAATTTAGATAGTTTTCTCATTTTGCATAGGTAATCTCCAAAGCTTTGTGGTACGGACAATTCAATTTCACATGTATATTAGGACCAAATTTTCATTTCCTGCCGAAGGTAACAACACTGTCTGCTCTTTCAAAGTGGCTTGGTGTTAGTAATTCTACCAGCTGATGATCAGATGTACCAATCAATGCTTAAGGTTTGTAGACTAAGTGTACAAAGCTACATATGTGGGTAAGAAAAAAAATCTCCTTTTCACAAATGATCAATGTCAAGAGCTTCTTTTAGGATTAGTTCCTTAACAGGCTTCATCTCATCCATACCAGGCATCTGCAGGCAATCTGTTTAAATTGTTACCCTCTCACTTTGCCCTCCTATTCCCATCGCTGCCTGAACTTCCTAATTAAGCTATGTAAGCACCAACACCAGATAATGGCATGACTGAGATCTGAGAAGAGAAAAGGGGATTAAATGCAAGCCCAATGATTGCTTTCCTTTGCTGACCTTTGTCTTTCATTATCAACAATTCCTCTTGGCTTAAATATTTAACAAGCAGAACCCATCAAAGTTTGCAATTGTAAGATTTGATGTATTTCTCATCAAAAATAGGTGATCATTTCTCAGGCCCCATGGTATTTCATTCAGATATTTTGTTTTACTCTCTTTGATCAACAGAGAATCACCTCACCAGCCTCTGGGACTTCATAACCTCAGGCTCTATTTCCTTCCTTCTCACTGTGGGCCTCAGCATCTGCTTGTCTTGATTAAGTAACCTCCTGGAGGTCACAACTATGGTGTCTAACTTCCTGACACAAAACACCCCAGGATGAAAAGGGTTTCAAGTGAGAGGTGCTGCTGCCAATTAGAAAAATGTTCCTGAACAAGCTGATTACCAATTAGTCTGGGTCAGGAAAATACCTAAGTAAAGATATTTAATGCCTCATCAGTATTTTATACCCCAGGTGCCCTAATTTAATAATAGGAAAAAACAGAGGACCTGCCTGTGGCCAAATGTCTTGTACATGATTCTTAATGATCTTCCCACCTCTGACAATATTCATGCGTGTAATAACATCACCTTTGCATAAATACCAAGGCCGAGAGATAGCTGGCAGATACCTGGTGGGAAATAAAGACACGACTTCCAGGGCTCTGCAGGGAAAACTCATCCAGTCCTCATATATATACTCACAGCCCCGAGCACAGTCTAGGCTTTAAAAACCTATTTTCTAGTGTAATTTTTATCAAAATAATATGTTCTTTCTGGAAATTAAATACTGCAAGGCTTAATATACATATGCAGTCTTGCGCCCCACTCCATTCCTGCCTCCCAGAGGTAAGCAGTTGCAATAATTTTAGCCACTGCCTCTAGTATCTACCTCCATATTTCTAGCGAATTAAAATGACTCACGATCTGGGAGAAAAGGATTTAGCTCTTATAATACAGACTGCTAAATGGTCCCCCCAAACATATCCCTCTTTTCATTCAACAATAATGCCCTGGATTTTAGCTAGGTACAGAGCTGCTCATAAATCTTTGCAGCTGCATATGAGACGTATGGGACGTATGAGACATGGTGGGTCCAATGAAACATAGTGGGAGTAATAAGGGTAACTTCAGAAAATGTTCTTGAATGGAGAGAACTTGCCATTTCTCTCCCCCTGGCTGGAACGCAGATGTGATGGTGTAGCTGAAGTAGCCATCTTAGACCATGAGGTAGCAGCTCTGTGATAGGACAGTAAAGCCTCAATATCAAAGAAACTGAAATCCTGAAGGGCTGTGAAGCTGTCCTGGACTGCATATTTACAAAAGAAAGAAATTCTGTTGTGTCAAAGCCACTGTTAATTTAGATGTATCTCCACTGCTGATAAGCCTAATCTTAAAGCAGAGAGCTTTTTTTGAAGTTGGAGAGTTAAGGAGAAAGTAGAGATCAATAGGGACCTGTAAGCCAGTTCAGGATTTGGGGTTTTATTTGAGAAGCACTAGTTTAAGCACTGGCAGAGCAGAATTAGATCTGTGTTTTGAAAAGTTCACTGTAAGGTTTGGAAAAAAGTGTGTGGAACAGAGGATGCAGGAGCAGGTGGAAGGATGCTTCTTCAGGAGTACAAGTGAGAGGCAGGGTAGCTGTGATGGAGGTGAAGTGAGGCCGTACTGGCAAGATGCCTGTCTGGAAGGGAAAGTCCGTGGAACCTGGTGGGGAATGATCGAGAGGGAGATGCCACGCTGACTTCAGATGGGCAACAGTGTCAGACACTGAGATGGAAAACACCGCTAGGCGGGAGGGAGCAGGCTTGGGAGGGAAGACTACAGTCGTATTTGTTCATGAACTCAGCCCCAAACATGCCTCCTATTCTCTAAAGGAATTTAATACAATGAAAAATAACACTTTTACTGGCTTCTAGGATAACCACTATCAAAACTGGTCATGAGGCTCAACAGAGGATGATGTTTTTCTTTTTCTTTTCATCACAATGCATACTAGTTAATCGAGAGTATTCTTGGGCTTAAACGTGAGTAGCAGATAAAATTTCCTTCTCTTTCGTTTGGTAAACAACAGGTAGAATAATGAAGATTTGTTTCCTTTTTCTACCATTTCACTTTTTCTTCTAGACGAGAAATGGCTGAAATGAAGTTTAAATTTAAATGCATTTAACTATAAAAATATGCTATAAATCATTATAGATTTTAGAATTATTTTATTAAGAAATGAAAGCCCCTCTTCTCCCCTTTTTTGAATCTAGATGAATTTTGATATTTTCATTAATATAAGATATAAGTTAAATATTCTTCTATTTCTTAGCTGGTTTGCTCCCTATCTACTGTCATTATGCTATGAAAACTACTTCACTGTCTTGTTAGATTTGCTCATATGTATCTTAAGTATACTGACATTTTTAAAAGAGAAAATAATCCATATGAAGAGAGAGATGCTGAGAATAAAGCAGAATCTAATCCATTATTGTCCTGTTAATCCTAAAGTCAGTAGATGTGAAAATCTTTTATTCTGTTAAGTAATGAGTAATCTCCTGCAGGAACAAGTGACCATTCCTATTCTGGATAGTCTTACTTCATTTCTCAACAGAGTATAGAAAAGTTGTAATAGGGATCCCACCTCTATATAAATCTAGATAAATTTAAGATAAATTAAAGTAACATCAGTAACAACCAATCAATAGAGTGTCTTGTAGAATCAAATACATGAAGTCAGTAAGTTTTCAAATAGCATGTTAATTCTTTAGTTATTCATACCTTTGGAAGGTGACTTGGTGAAGAGAGGTGCACAGAGGCTGGCAGAGTATCCCCCCAACAAGGAGGAGGTATGGGTGGGGTGCAGAATGAAAGGGGGCTTCCCGGGTGAAAAGACTGCAATGGAGCAGGTGTAGAGAGCACTCTTGCAAGTGGAATTATCTGAGCAACTCTGTGCGGAGAAGCCGCCTAGGGGATGACTTGGTTAACAAGGCTGGGTTCCCTGGGGATTCAAATTATTAAAAAGCAGACACAGAAATTCAGATTTGATGCTAATCTGTCAATTTACAAAGAGAAGTAATAATCAACGAAAGCATTTATCTTCTTTTAAAAGATAAATTTGGCCATATGTGTTAGTTTAGGTCTTCCAAGATGACGCTGAACATAAACTTTCTAAGGAAAGTCTATCTATTTACCCAGGAAATGGATTCCAGACACAGACTACATGCAGAGTGCAGCAGGGCATTGTACCAGCAAGTACATGCTTTGGCTTGGAAGTAACATACACCACTTCCACCTGCAGCCCCTGGTCCAGAAGAGGTAGCTTCACCTAACTACAATGTGGGGGGGGGTCCTACCCCTTCCGTGAGCACAGATGGAAAGGGACACCAGTTATGGGTGAGCACTGTAAGTGTCTAACATGGGGCCTGGTGGGGAGGGGGCATAGAGGAGCCAAACCAGAGAGAGACATGTCAGGTTTGAGATAGTCATTAGATATCCAAGTAGGGAGGTCAAGGTAGCAGGTGGACATATGAGTCTGTAGT